CCGCGCTCCGCAGCCTGCGACGCTTGCGCGGCGGCGACCTCTGCTGCGGCAGACGCTTGCCGCTCCTCGTCCGCCTGCCTCGCCTGTGGCGGCGGCGGAGCGAACCGTCGGCCTCCTCCTGGCCCAAGGCCGGGCCCCGAACCCTGCCCCGAGCCGACCTGGCGGCGGCGGAGCTCCGCGTCGGCCTCGCCGTTCTCGATGTGCAGGCTGACGGCCGCGGAGAGGTCGCCCCCTGCCGCCTCGAGCAGCACGATCGCCTCCTCGGGCGCAAGGCCAGTGACCTCGGACAGGGCGTGCAGCGGGGACTCGTCGCCGTCGCCTTCGAAGACGTGAGCGCCGCCGGCAGGGGCGTGGGTGGCGCCGTCGTCCTCGCCGTGAGCAGACGCGAGGACGAGCATCGCGGCCGCATCAGCGCGGCACTCGGACGCGCGCACGTACCCGAACAGAGCATCCGGGTCGTGCATGATCCCTCGCGCCCGGGCTGCATCCTGTGGAGAGATGGCTCCCGAGAGCTCATCCGTGGAGATTGCCCTCTCCACCTGGAAGAGTGTCTCCACGGCCGCAGACACATCCGCCTCCGGCTGCGACACGAAGAGGCTCTCCACCTGGCTCGCGAGTTCAGCAGGCAGCCGCTCGTGCTCCTCCATTCCTGGGAGGGTCAGTGTGTGTATGTCGAGCCGTGGGCCGGAATGGGAGACCTCTTGAGGCCCAGGTCGTCGGCGCCTATCGTCGGGCCGTATTGCCCCGGGCGAAAAAAAAAGGGCTCACAAGCGAGCGCTAGTGAACGCCCAGGGAACCGATATGCCTTACAGTATTCTTATACAATACTCAGGTCCCGCTAGCAAGTCCTGAACAGGGTAAGGGAGGGAGGGAGAGCAAACAACTGGGAAGTTCACAGCTGAGCTTACCCCGAGAACGCCGTTCTCACCCACAAGCGAGCGCTAGTGAACGCCCAGGGAACCGATATGCCATCCCCAACCGCCCGAGCGCCCGAGGTGGGCGCTCGGAGGCCGGAGGCATGAGAAGGCCGACATGCGCGCGGGGCGCACGAGCGGCGGAGCGAGAGCGGGCTCGCGTATGGAGTAGCAAAATTTCTTTTTGGTCAAGCCGAGGTGCGAAATTTTCTTCTCTCGCGCGGAATAAAATAGCCAGTTTCGGTGGAGCTCCGAGAGGTAGAAGATCGTCGGCGCTGAAGTTGTGTCGCAGGAGGTGGTGGAGAATGACCTCCAGACTGACCCGGAGAATCACCTCCACCAGCCCCACCCCAGCACCCCTATTATCACACTCTCCCCCCCCACAGTGATGAACCTAGTCTACCTATATCCCTATATTCCCACACCCTGTGCAGTGGCACGTCTCGCCACCTAGATCCCTAATATTGGCACCTTGGGCGCCGAATAGGCGCCCAAATATTGGCACGTAATAGTTCCCTCGACTCTCGAGTCGGCGTCATGTGAGACGCTTGAGAGTCACCCCGCTGAGGCAGTGAGCCCCAGCATCCCCGGTGTAGCACGACGCCATTCCCTTATACCACTCGGATACGAGTTCCTTATACCTTATACCAATCCTACAGTCGTCTGCGACGGCACCCGGATCGAGGATGGCTTTGCAGCCTCACCCGCGATCACCAGTACAGCAGAGCCTTGCACGCGGCTCTGCACTCACACTTGCTGGGCACCAACCTTTGGGTCCAGATGACTATCCCTCTACAAACGAGGGGAGAGGGACGCCTCACGAGCCTACGGAGGGCCTCGACCCGACTTCTTGCTGGTCAGACCACTCTAATCCCTTCCACAAGTTGGCAAACACAACCGCGCCGCTGTGGCCCAAGAACAGGACGCACAAGCCCAGAAACCCCTACCTAGGCACCAGGGAGAGAGAGATTTTAAAGAAACACGGCGTTCCGGCCATTGTTGGTCGCACTTGCACTTGCGATTTTTTTCCCTTTTTGTGATCTCCGCGTGCCTGTGCTTGTGGCACTCCCCGAGCGCCGCCGCTGTGCGCGCTGAGGCGTACGCAGCTTCGGCGTGAGAGCGGCGGCGGCGGCGGCAATCTGCCGGCGTCCGCCACCAGCGTCCGCCGCTGCACCAGCTCTCTCGACTTCATGCACTACCAGCGGCGCGCCAAGAAGCCTGCGTCAGCTGCGGCAGCGCTGCAGCGGCTCACCGGTAGGATGCAGCGGCCGCGCTGCGATGGCAGCCTCGTCGCTGCATCCGCCAACTTCACGAGCTCTCGCCGCGCTGAGCTCGCCCGCCCGTCGGCCGCGACCGCAGATGCGAGCACGCGGCGGCGGTGCCCTCTCAGCCACTAACTGCAGCAGGCGTGACATGGGAGGCGGAACGATGGAGTCGGACGAATCGAAATGGCAGTTGCCCACGCCACCGCCGCCCCGGCATGTTGAAGCCAGCCCCGCACTCGCACCATCCGGCCAAGACCCGCACATGCCACTTGCGCTTCCCGACCCGCGCTCCGCCCCGATTTCGGCCTTCAGGCAGCATCCTCGATCGGGCTCGACTTGGACGAGCGCCAACCGCACCGTCGGCGGCTCCGCTGTGGGGCCGACGCCGCGGCCTACTTCGGCCACCGTCGAGCCGGTGCGCTGTGGCTTGCACCTCGGCCTTTCCGTGGCGTTCCTTCCCCGTCCTTCTCCCTCTCTCAGCCAGCTCACTCCCGCCTCCTCCAGGCGACGGTTGCGACGCAGAGCAGCGAGGGCCGACGTGGCCGACGTGGCCGACAGAGCCCGCCCGCCTCGCACGGCGGCGACTACGAGGAGCCACCTGCGAAATGCGCCCGCTCGACCCACCTTGCCTGCGCCGGCAGGTTGGCGGAGGGCGACGCAGGAGGATCTCGCCGCGAGGGACGTGTGCCGCAACCCTCCTCCAAACCGCCCCCGCCCGCGCCGCCGCCGTCACAGCCCGCGCCTCCGCAGCCTCCGCCGCCGCCGCCGCCGCCGCGGCCCGCGCCTCCGCCGCCGCAGCTCGCGCCTCCGCCGCCAAACACACAGCTGGCCGATCCACCAGCGCTGTCCCGCATCGAGGCCATCAAGAGCGGCGTGTCGGAGCTGAGTGACAAGCTTTCCTCGCTCGAGTGCTGGTGCGGCAGCTGCTGCCCGCTCGAGTGCGTGTGTACGATCGAGAATCACGCGGCCTTCGTCGGCGACTCGCTCGTCGACGCCACGATCGCCAAGCTTCCGCCGCCGCCGCAGCAGTCGGCCATGGCGTGGGCGACTACCGCGGCCCTTGCCCTTCGCGGGGGTATGCTTCGACGACCCGGGCTTCCTCGGCTCGTGGTACGAGGCGGAGGTCCTCGGGATCGTCTGGAAAGGCGGTTTGTGGCTGCGCGTGCGGTGCTTCCTCTCGCCGTCCCCACAGCGCTGAGAGTGACGGCGCAGACCTGCAGACGGTCCCCCATAGGTACGTCGAGCTCCTCGAGACGGACGACAAGCTCTGGGAGGAGGAAGTCAGCATCGAGATGGTGCGGCCTCTGCCGCCCCCACACGACGAGTTCGACGACTTTCTCCCCTTCGCGGCGCACCCTCGCGCCTCCCCGCCGCCTCCCCTCCACCATGTCCCGACCACCCGTGCCCTCCCCGTGCAGGCGCCGCTCGAGCTCTCCCACAAAGACGGCTGGTGGGAGGCGCCCAGCCGCCTCTGTTTCGGCGCTGGCCAGCGCCACCCGCCTCTCCTCCTAGTCACCACATCTAGCCGTGTAGGTGCTCCTTGTCGGCTCGGAGGGCGGGCTGATGACCGTCTGGTCGCCGCAGCACGAGGCGCTCGCGCTCGGCCCGCCCTTCCCCGCATCAGGTACGCCTTGAGGGCAGTGTTCTCTCAAATAGGAGTTCCATCGCGCGCCGCTGGTGCTGCTGCGCCCGGCTTGGCGCTGGGTGCCGCACGCGCTGCGATGGGAGAGGCGAGCGGCCGCTTCGGAGGCGGAGGTGACGGCACTTGAGGCGGCAGTGAAGGAGGTGGAGGCGGCGGAGATGGTGGTGGAGGCGGAGGAGGAGGGGGGGGAGGAGGGAGGGGAGGAGGAGGGGGGCGAGGGGGGAGGGGAGGGGGGGGGGAGGGAGGCGGGGCCGAGGCTTACTGCATTACACGCTGGGCGGCGGGCAGCGGTGAAGCAGTTCGCGTGCGAGGGTGTCGGTTGCACGATGCGCTTTGCCGATGCGTCGAAGCTGATCCGCCACTGCGCTATATGGCGGCACGAGGCAGGAGTTCCGCTGTGGGGGTCGACGGCGACGCCGCCGCCGCCGAGGGAGGTCGGACCGAGGCATGCAGTGACGGGCAGGTGGGCGGCAGCGGCGGCAGCGGCGGCAGCGGCGGCAGCGGCGGCAGCGGCGGCAGCGACGGCAGCGGCGGCAGCGGCGGCAGCGGTTGCAGCGGCGGCGGCGGCAACGACAGCGGCGCTGCAGGCGTGGCGCTCTCCGTGGGCGACAGCGTGGCAGACGACAGCGCGCGCCCCGTCCCGGCTGACGGGGCTGTCATCCCGTCGGTGCCTGCGGTCTGCGCGCAGCAGATGGCCGAGGCCAAGTTCGGCGACACCGCCAACACGCCATGTTACGGCGTGAGAGACACCGGGTCTCTGCGTGCAGACCCGAGGCGTGCCTCGTACGCCAACTAACCCATTTCTATTTTGCGCCAGGCGGTTTTACTGCCCGCTGGCGCAGCGCTACCCGCTCAAGGTGTACGACAGCGCCGGCACGGTATGGTACTTCGTCGCCGTGGGAGCGCCGGAGGTGCGACGGGCGATGGAGCTCCTCGTCAACTGGAAGGCGTGCGAGTTCCTCGAGTCGCGCGGCTTCCGCCCGCACGAGGAGACGGGCGAGGAGGGCTTCTTCGGCCCGGCGGCCGAGGTGAACCGCGTCGTCGAGGCCCGCCTCGGATAGCTTTGGCCCTCCCCTCCCGCCCCCGTTCCAAACAGCCCGTGTTTTGAGTTAGGAGTTCGTGCACCACCTCTTGCTCACTTGCCCCGTCGTCAAGACCGTCTTCTCGGAGGGTTGGCTGCGCGTCGACGGAGTGTGGAGCAAGCTATTCTCCGACGCGTCGCGGCGGGCCTTCCCGCCCCCGCCCGGCGGGAGCTGAGGGCGACAGCGCGGCTGCGACGGAGGGAGGGCACCCGGAGGGGGGCGAGGCAAATGAGAGGGCACCGGGGACGGCGCGGCGGGCGGGGGCGGCGCCCGGCTAGGGCGGGCGGCCGAGAGGGGGAGCGGCGGGGCGAGGGCTAGGACAGTGAGGGGCCCAGACACACTTGGCCGCCATAGGTGCGGAGAGGAGGGTGTTTGCTTGTGGGGTGGCACCGCGCAGCGCCTGAGACTGTGTCGTGTCGGTTCAGCGGGTACCTCGCCCGCTGGGCAGGTTTGAGGACGCCTGCAAGTAGATAGACGTTCGTAGCGGGTACACCGCCTCGCGTGTATGTGTATGTGTGATCTCTGTCTCTCTCTCTTATTTGTCTAAGGCCTGTCTCTGTTTGAGGTGGTCTCTCAGACTCAGTGAGAGAGTCCATCTCTGAGTTGTCGCTCGGGTTGCCTCGAGTACTTGAGAATTCTTTTTGTTAGTGCGCGCCAGTCCCGCCCAGTGCGCCGGTGGTGAGAATCAGCGGGAAAAGAATTGGTGGGCTTCTTTTTTTCTTTTTGTATACATGTAATACAACACAGTACAACGGGGGAGAGAGAGAGATTTTAGAAAACCTTCACCGGGGGGCGAAGAATAGGCAGCGAACTTCCCTCGCGCACAACACTGGGCACGGGACTGGCGGAGCGCACCACTGGCACAAACACACACAACAACGCCATTCGTGTGTCTTTTGTTTGTGTGAGTCTGTGTGCTGGCTCTTACGAACATACACCCCCAGGAGCCGGCGAACTGCAGACAGGGTTGCTTATTTCCGCTGTGTTGGTGTTGTGTGTGTGCGGGCGGCAGCCTGGCGGCATTTTTCATTCATCACACGGGTCGGTCCCGCCATCGGGATATGCATCTACGTACTACGCCGAAGGTACCTCACAAACGTTCACAAAACTTGATCGGTGCAGAAGCCGGATCTTGCGCAGCGCACACAGTTGGGCTTGCTGCCGCAGTCGGCGTCGGCAGAACAGGGCGGGCCTCTTTCGCCGGGGACGCAAGTGCGGCTCTCGAGGAGGTGGATGAGGTCCATCTCCTCGCCGACCAGCTCCGCCTCCTGCTCCTCGAGGCTGGGCGCGCCGCAAGTCTTCTCAAAGTCCCGTTGGCGGGCGAGCACCCACTCGCCGCTCGGCTTCGCGCAAGCGGACAGTTGCACCTCCGCGTGCTCGCTGTCCACCTCCCACACCGGGTATCCGGCGGCGAGGAGGACGGGCTGCGGGGAGGGCGTGACCAACGGGGTCAGCGGATGGTGTGGGGTCGTGCTGGGATGTGCTGGTGAGGGTGAGGGTCGTCAGTGATGGGCAACGAATAGGGCGATCTGTCTGCGCCGCCACCTCGATGAGTGTCATCCCTCCAACGCGCGCCGTGCGGATGAGACCAAGCGGCCCGCTTGCCAAGCCGCATGCCTGCAGCGATCCATGCGAAGGCGTGAGGCGAAGCAGATGGCTGCACATCAGATTCATCCGTGGGAGTAAACGTGCCTGCGTGAAGTAGTCGTCAGCAGAGTCAACGCCAGCGCACGCGCCATGCTTGGTGAACTCGTGCTCCTGAAAGTCGAGGATCTCCGCCTCCGTCTCGCCCGGCTTCTCGTAGCAGGTGTACACCTGACGCGCCAGCATTGCAGAGTCAGAGGGGCGCGATGGGCGCGGCTGCGTTGCAGCAATGGAGCGCCTCGGTCGGTGGCAATTGGCTTTCGGGCCTCACGCATGCGCTCGAGCCGTAATCCCCATTCTCTGGCCACAGGCCGTGGAGTCCCGGCCCGAGGCCATATTTGCCGGGCCCGAGGCCTGATGAAAGGGTCAGGACGCCGCAGAGCGCCACGCTGCTGCCGCACTCCATGAAGCCGCCCTGCTGCTTCCTCGAGTACAATAAAGCAACGAGGAGCGCCCCCGCAACCACTGCGCCGATCAGGATGCGCTTCCTCCAGACGCTCGACGGGGGGCCACTCGTACGCCGGCCCATGGATCGGTCGATGAATCAAAGAGTGAAATGGCCCAAAACGGCGAAACGCGAACACACTGCCTGCGGGCCGTGGACGGGACAGCCGATATCGGGGCAGTGTTCAGTGCATGGGGCGGCACCTAGCTATGGGGAAAGGCATGTCCGCAGAGAGATCGAGTCGAAAAAGCGGAGCCGAGACATCTTCGCGCCGATACGGCGAGGGGTCAAAGTCGGTCAAGTTGCCCATGGTCGAGATTGACGCGGCGAGCGCTTTTAGCATGGCGCGAGCTGGCACCACGACCTTCGGAGGTGTGCCCCGAAAGGGTCACGTCTTGGAGGAGGGGAAGCGTGAGATCATGCTTATCGGGTTGTTTGATGAGATCGACTTCAATGATGACGGCAACATTAAGCTCGAAGAGTTTTGCGCCGTCTACACTTGCTGGGGCGAGAACAATAAGGAGAGGATGGAGGAAGACTTCAAGGTGATGGCAGAGTACAAGATGGATAGCTGTGACCTGATCGACACGATACAGCGATACGAGTTTGTGCCGTACTGCAGCAAGCTGTTTGCGCTGTGGGATGACGACACGTTTGTCCACGTCGTCAAGAAGCTGAAGGAGCTCGCAAAACGGAAGAAGCCAGCAACCGTAGCGCAAGCTCCGAGGCGCCCCTATGCAACAAAATCTTCCTCCTTCAACTTTGGTCACAGCAGTCGGTCGTCAGTGACCGACATGGACATGTCCTTGGACGATCCGGTGAGGGACAAGCTTCAGCAGATCTTCAAGGCGTGCGACAGCAACGGAGACGGGCGGCTGAATCCGAAAGAGCTCAGGGGTAGCCTCGGCCTCGGCGAAGCGACCTTTGACTGGATGGACGTCCCTGACGGAGTGGGCGACGGTCGGGTGTCGATGGATGAGTTTGTGGCCGGGATGAAAGAGACGTACCCGACCTCTGTGTACGGCGTGCAAGAGCTGAACGGGATCTTTCGGGACATGCAAGAAAAGGCGGAGAGGGCCAATGCTCCAGCGGAGAGCAGAGGTGGCGTCGGCGGCACGGGCACGAGCCACGGCGCGGGCTCAAGCTTGGACGCGGGCCCAGCTGCAGGTGCGGACAAGGGCTTCAAAGAGGTGCAGGTCACCTATGTGTTGGTCGAGCACTCTTCCGATGGACCCGTCAAGCACCCTGCATATGCCGAGGAGGCAAAGGCACGCGCCGCTGCCAAGAAGCTCACCTCGGGCTACACGCTCTACCGAAACCAGATCTCAGAGATAGAGCGCGCGCCGCACCCCAATGAAGCCGGGCTCTCCGTGCCGCCTTCAGCGCCGGGCAGCCCGCTGCCGATGCTGCCTCTACCACCTCCTGTGTCGGAATCCCCGCCCTGCCAGGCAAATCGTCGCCCGACCCCACTGATCCGCGAGGCTTCTGCCAGCGCAATGGACAGGCTGTCGTTCAGAAAAAGGGTCCCGCTGCGGGTCTGAGGAGTAAGGTATCAGAGGTCCAACACCCCGCAGGCGCCCATTCTTTGTCAATCTGTCACTTTTTAGGACACCACGGCTCCGCACCCCGCCCCGCTCCGCTCAGATGCTCAGAGTTCGCACCTCACACGCGATCAAGTGGGTTTGGTATGTTTATCCATCTCGCACCGGAGACGTGGCCTCCTCTGAATGTTGCGCGCCGCCGGAGCCCTCCGCCGCAACGCTCGCAGCGCGCTCGAGCTCTCTCTGCTCCTCCAGCGCCATGTCGATACTCTCTGCAGGCTGCAGCATCGGCTGCGCCTCCCACGATGTGACCAGCGCGTTGGCCTCTGCAGCGTCCTCGCTGCCGCCGGCCCGGCCGCCCGCGCGCCCTGTTAGCTTTGTCAGCCGCACCAGCGCCGCCGCCTTGAGCTGAAACTCGAGCTCGTACGCCTGGCACCACAGGCGGGAGGCCGTGGCTGGGCGTTGGAGGCTGCAACCGCAGGGCCGGGCTTACGAGCTGCGAGGCGGCGGAGCTGGAGGGGAGGCACAGCGGGCGTGACACGGGGCAAAGCCGCACCTCCACCGTTGCTGCTGCCGCAGCGCTCTGGTCGGCGGCAGAGCAGCTGAGGCCAAGCGGACCGCGGTCGACGGCGACGGCGGCGCCCAAGCCCCGGACGCTCGCACGCGATGCTTGCACCGCTGCGTACATGCTCTGCAGCTGCCTCTCGTGCTCCTCGACCAGGCGCTCGAGCTTCGGGACGAGAGCCGCGCGCTGAGCCGCCTCGCGCGCCTCGGCGTCCGCTATCTCTGCGGCAAAGTCGGCGTCGGCCAGAGATACGCCCGGCCCGAGGAGCTCGTAGACGGAGCCAGCAGCACTCGGAGGCGGCTGTGCGGCGATGCCGCGCACGACTGCGAGCGACTCGGCAAAGGTCTCCGCCCACCTCGAGCGTCCGTCGTCGAGGCTGCGCTGCCACCCCGCCATGCGCCTTTGCCTCGGTCGCCCAGGTGTATTTTATTTTTGCTTGGGCGGACAGCATGACGGGGTAGGTAGGGTAGGTCTGGGCCCCCCCGTCGGGTTTTTGCCTCTCTTCACGCCGGAATTTTCACAGCAAAAAAAGAAATTTTCCGGCGAAATCACGATGTCAACCCTCCCCAAGTGTGGGTGATCTGATGCTTGTATGGCCTTGAGAGTGGCCTGCCATGCCACAGGAAGGACTGTGGTTGCAGGAGAGTACCTGGAAAATCACTTTAGTTTGTATAGTACCCCACCTTCACCCCGCCAGTGATTTCTTTTTTAGTTTCCCATAAGTAGGGTAGGTAGGTAGGTAGGTAGGTAGGGGCAGGGCAGGGGCCGGTCAGGTTTTTCCAGAATTTCATCATGCTGTCCGCCCAAGCAAAAATAAAATACACCTGGGTCGCCGCCGGTGCGCGAACAAAAGAATTTGACCCGTCGAGAATTTTACAGGCTCCTCCCATCCCTCCCTTGGGTTGGCTGTTTTCTTTCTTTCTTTTACAGGCAGTCCCTCGGAAAGAATTTTACCAAGAAAAGAATTCCTCTCGCCAATGTTCGATCTTCCTTTCTTTCTTTGTTTACCTACCTACCACAAGCAGACCACACAAGCAAGTGGCACAGAACGAGAAAGAAAACGCGCGGCTAACTAAAGTCTAAACCTTCTCCGAACGCCTAGCGCGCTCAGTAGAGCGCGAAGGAGGGGGCGGGGTCCACCACCGGCGGGGCCCTCGTCGCGAGGCGGAGGGGCTCGCCACGCGCCCCCGCCCCCGGCCCAGCTGCCGGGCCGCCTGCGGGCCGCCCTCTCGCCTTGGAGCGCCTGAGCAGGTTGGCGAGCTCGCGGCTCTTTGCGGTGGGGCCGTGCGGCCGAGGGGCAGGGTCGCTCGGGGGGTCGACGCTGGCGTCGAGGCGCGCGCAGATGCGGCCGGCGACGCCGCAGCGGTTTCCAAGTGCGACGAGTGCGCAGAACGCGCCGGTGAAGACAAAGGTGGTGAAGAGGACCTGTCCGTCGCGCGGGCCGCACATCCACGTCAGCAGCAGGTAGAGGAAGAGAGAGACGGTGCTGGCCGTGTGGCGCGTGGAGTAGTAGAGGCGCTGGCAGAGCTGCTTCTGCCTCTCGCAGTGTTGCAGCTGCATCATCCAGAGCGTGAGCGCGTAGGAGACGAGGATGGCGCCGAAGGAGAGGAGGAGGAAGAGGTCGTACTTGGTCGCGACCGAGACGATGTTTCGCTTGGAGCGC